AAGGCTAAGCAAAGTAGGAATAGCCTAGATCTAGATCTAGATCTAGATAGATTTAGATCTAGTAAAAACTAGTCCGGACTGCTTTTATACACTTGCACCAAACAATACAACTAAACCGAGACTCACAGGGGGTGGGGGGGGGGGGGCTCTCGTGGTTAAGGTGTTGGCCTCAAGGTGTTGGCCTCTCATTCAAAGGTCCCGGGTTCGAATCCGGGTAGCGACAGAAAATTGTCTTCTCTTAAATTGTCTCCTTCCATCTCCATTCCTGCTATCTAGCAATATTCTGTCGTCTGCTTTCGTCTTCTCTTTCTGCCCCCACCACCTCACCTCCTTTGTCCCCTCCTCTGGGCTCCTGACTCTTTCTGCAGTCTTTCTACTGCTACTCCTTGACTCTTTCTTACAGCTGTCCTTCTGCCACACACCTGATCTTCTCGTAGGAAAGATCTACACCTAGCCTTCTCGGACAAGGGCGAAAAATCTCATAGGGCCCGTGTGCAAGTTGCGCACGTTAAAGATCCCTTGGTGGTCTAAAATCGATAAGAGTAGGCTTCGGCTGCCACGGGGCAAAATTCAAAATTTCCTACCTACTAAAAAAAAATAGGTGTGTCCTGCGCGCTCATATGACCTTGTGCAGTTGCGAGCGCCGTAAACCCACTTACCAAACAATGAGACTAACACTTTACTTACTCACTCTCACACTTTTAGCCAAACAATACAGTAGGCTAGGTCTAACCCCCTGCCACTGACCAACACGCCAGATTGCTAATTAAACAACCAAATAGACCACAATGACTTAACAGTGTTGATAGGGGCGTTAAACAAAATAATATGCCAGCTTTTATGCCACTCTCGTTCTCTCACACAGGAGCCAAGGACTATAAACTAGCGTTGAAAAAGTCCATCTTATTCTATGAGGCTCAGCGCTCTGGCCCCATCAATGATCAGATTATCCCATGGCGTCACTCTTCAGCCATGCATGACTGCACAGTTGGTGGCTGGTATGACGGTACGTACTCTATCAGTTATAAAGGTAAAGGTAAACTTTAGCCCTCTCTTTGGAACTTACTTGACCCATAACGCAAATCCGGGATTTGGGTAACTGTCATGTCATGCACGAAACTTTCGGTGGGGTGTTTTTTTTTCTCTTGGTTTTCTTGGGGTTTTTTTGGAGGGGGGGGGTCTTTATTTAAGAATTTTTCGGGGTTTTTTTTTGGGGGGGTGAGGGGGAGGGGGGAGTGGGGAGGGGGGAGGGGAGAGGAGTGGTTCCGAATTTAGTTGGTGCTGCTAGCAGCCTAATCAAAACGTTGGCCCGTTTTCAAAGAAGTCTCTCTGATAATATTCTCTTTGCCTAATTACTTAATGAACAACCTGCACTGTCCTCCCCAGCTGGAGACCACGTAAAGTTTGGACTTCCTATGGCGTCATCTGCCCATCTTTTGATGTGGGGTCTCTATGAGTTTAAAGACGGTTATGTGGAGGCGGGCCAACTGAACCAGATGTACCACATGCTTAAGACCCCACTGAACTACTTCAAGGCGGCCTGGAATGCGCATGCACATAAGCTGACTGCTCAAGTGAGAGACGTGATGAATTGAGTCAGGACGCGGTGGAATCAGGCGTTCGTTATTTTTGGGATTTGTTTAGTTATTGATGTCATCTCAAAGTTTGATTATTTGTTTTTTTTTGATGTAAGAAATACACATCTATCTTAAATAGAAGTCGACTGAAAAAGATGGGGGTGTCGCCTATCACAGATAAAAATTAGCCACCTTGGAAATTTATTTTTGTGTGCTTTTGATCAAATGTTTAAGTATACTTAACATTGAAATGTGTTTTTTGAATTGTCATAAATGGTTTGGGGTCGAAATGAAATGATAGATTTTGCCCAACAAGCAGAAAAATACTGGTCTCTTTGATTTCATTATTTTCACGAGCGTCTGATTTTACCACGATACCACACAAAAAAGCTACTACAATCATATCCATCTGCTCTTAATCTAACTGGCCGGGGACGCAATATAATTTAATTTTAATGCCAGAGTACTGAGCTTAGTGGTTGTGTGTTTTATATCGTGGTTATAGCAAACTAGAAATGGTCATGTTGGTTGTAAACACCTGCACTGTCGTTCACATTATAAATATTATTTTGTTTTTTCATACATTTCCTGTGTGTGTGTGTGTGTGTGTGTGTGTGTGTGTGTGTGTGTGTGTGTGTGCGCGCGTGCGTGTGTATGTGTGTGTATTTGTTTGTGTGTTTGTGTGATTGTGTTTCTGTGTATGTAAGTATGTGTGTATGCGCGTGTGTATATTTGCGTTTATGTTTGTGTGTGAGTATGTTGTTTGTGCTTGTGAGTGATTGTGTGTCTAGATATGTAAGTATGTGTGTATGTGTGTGTGTATGTGTATGTTTTGTGTGTTCATGTGTTTGTATTTGTGTTTGTGCGTACGTGTGCATGTGTGTATGGTGGGTGGGAGGGTGGATGGATGGGTGTGTGCTTATCAGAGAGATAGAGGGAGAGGGGGGGGGAACACAGAGAGGGAGCGAGAGAGATAGAGAGAGAGGCAGACAGACAGACGGACAGAGAGAATATTGATGAGTGCAAGTGCATGTTTAATATTATATTATTTAGTCTACTGCAGCATTTTCTCTATCTGAGAGATAAATAAAGTGTTTTCTTATCTAATCTGATCTTACATTATCTAGTATCACCCTTTCCTTTTCTTGTATTTAGCTCTCTCTTTGTAATTGCGATAGTATATATTGCTGCTTTACTTACTTAAATATTAGTTAATGTACTACTTTGTGTTAACACACTCAAGAGAGGGCAAACGATAATAATAATACGTTACACTGATTTAACATTGAAACAGTATTCAACGTATAATCTTAAACATGCTTTTAAATGATTATTTTGATCAATCAATTGCTTGGTTATCTGGTGGAGCGTTTGTATTTTTGATTGACTTGTTTTGTATGACAATAGATTCAGGAACTGTTCAATCAGTTATCAATACGTAAACTCTGGTAGTTTGATAAATCAGATTGCTTTCTTGATTCTACTTTGAACCTGTCACCTCCTCCACAGGTGGGAGACGCTCATGCTGATCATGCGTACTGGGGTCGTCCCGAAGACATGACAATGTCTAGACCATGTGTGTACATCGACAATAACACCCCGGGAAGCAACATTGCTGGAGAAACAGCAGCTTCTTTGGCTCTTGGATACCTCGTTTTCAAACAAAAAGGTGAGTGAGCATAATGTTGTACAGCTGCCTGCTGTTTAAATGTACTAAACCCAGAATTTTAACTTTTTGTCTTGCAGTTTTAGAATCTGTGATATCGTTTCAAGTGTGTGAGAAATATTTATGATGGAAATCCAAGCTCCAAATTTAATGTTGAAAAGAGGCAAGATAGTGTGCGTAATGTAAGAACGAGTAATTGTTATACGCATGAACCTGTGTCTCTCGGAAAATGTTATTTACTGGTTTTAAAACAGAAGAACAATTTGCCGAGGACAGCTCGGTTTGTTTGTTTGTTCTTTACTTTGTTTAAAGTTGAGTCTCCTATACTTATCTGTATCCGTTAAATGGGAGGTGCTGTCTTTTTCGTGTTGATTAACGGCACTTCACATTGTTCCCAGACCCCAACTACGCTAACGGTCTTTTGAGTTCAGCTAAGAGCCTCTATGCCTTTGCCAAAGCTCACCCTGGATCGTTCACAGGATCTGGAGGAAACTACAGGTAAGGCAACTTGTCTAATCTTCAAACACATACCTAGCCTAGGATTACAAAGTTCTATCTGCTCCGTAGGCCTACCTAGTTTTGAGAAATTTGACTTCAACATTTTTGAGTTTCAAAATATGTCAAGCTTTTTCGAATGCAATTCTTTGTATTTCTAGATAACGACTCCGAATACTTTTACGATTTTGATAGAACAGATGAAGCATTTGTTTTCTGATCTCAGGGTCTTATTAACTCAAAACAGCCAAACATTATGTAAGATAAAACGTTGTAATTCTGAGGTTGCAAATAATGTTGGTGTTCAAATACTACCCCAAAGACAAAATTTACACCGTGGGAAGCGGACGTCAACACTTCATTTTTAGAATCAAACCCAGATGAGAGGAATAGACCACCCACCAGAACGACTGAGCTACTCGATACAGCCCCCTCCCCCCCCCCCCCCCCCCGCGCCCCGAATCGAACCTATCAGACTGTCTAAGAATAAGCAGATCTAACTGCACGGGGTTCTGAACTTATTCTAAATTCAATCTAATTCCCCCTCAGAGATGGCGGTTATAAAGACGAGATGTGCCTTGGGGCCGTTTGGCTGTACCGTGCAACCAAAGATTCTAATTATCTAAACGATGCTAAGAGCTTCTATGAGGCCGGAGTTCCATGGGCCTTGAGCTGGGGCGACAAGAAACCAGCCTGCCAGGTAGGTCAAAGACTGAGAAGGTGATGCTATTGGGTCATGGCTGGGTAGCTGCAATAAAATTGTGATTGGGTTGTTTAAAAATTATGTATTATTAGCTGGGCCCCCTTTCGATGAAACGAATGATCGGTGCTATAACATCAACTGAAAGTCATTTGCCTACTATATTTACACTCTACTGGAATGGAGCAATAAATCTTTTAGATGCAAAAATTTAGAAAGTCTAGATCTAGATCTATACTCTTAAAACAAAATGCGCCTCCCAAAACATCACTTCCGCACTGTATTTTCTAAAATTACAGAGACAGAAGCGTCTGTCTACAAAATCGATGAGCGAAATAAAGAAATTTAGCTTTTTTACTACAAAACTGTCTCAAAACTGAAAAAAAACGAAGGGGAATATTTTAATAATCTTTTTTTTGCGAAAACTGCATGTCTATCGATGCTGCCGTTAAAAAAGCCTTTTCAATAGCAAAATTCGGCCACCACAAATAGATAATAGTCTTTCCCGTCAGTTTCGAAAATGACTATTTTGCTTAAAATAATGATGATTTTAACAATATTCATAATAATAATAATAATAATAATAATAATAATAACAACAACAATAATAATAATAATAATAATAATAATAATAATAATAATAATAATAATAATAATAATAATAATAATAATAATACTAATAATAATAATAATAATAATAATAATAATAATAATAACAATAACAATAATTAATGTACAACGCATGTCCACCACTCTAAGTCAAATTCTGTGTGTTTGAAACTATATCATTATTACCTCGAGCAGAGGCTAAAACAGGCAGAAACTGTCTTGGCTTCCAGAGAAGCATACTATAATGTACTGGCAGCTGATGAAGCGCTTAAACACTATGACATTTGCAAGAACTTTCGCCACATTGACTTGGTCGGCAGGAGGGGAACACGATCTAAGAGGGAGACAAGACAACATCACATGTGGCCCACGAGTTACTCAATAAACATCCTAGCCGCATGGGAATCGAACTTTTTTTTTTTTTACTCCGAATCTTGCTGACCACTACACGATAGATGCCAGTGAGTTGCGGTAAAAGTAAACTATTCTTGCAAAGAGTGACCTGGAGTGAAGAAGTTTGTACTGAGCCTTTTCCTGGGTGAAATTTAATCCGTACTTTAGACAGTAATACGTAATAGTGATTGCAATTGTAGATGCTATAATCACACACATAAGCAAACACACACACACACACACACACAAACACACACACACACACACACACACACGCACACACACATACACATGAATACACAATCACACACTCATACAAACAGAGACACACAGACACACGGACACAGACGCACAGACAGATGGACACACTGACACACACACACACACACACACACACACACACTCACACACACACACACACTAACGCTGCATATCCTTTCCCACTAAGTGCAGCTGCAACTATTGCCTATGTCCTGATGTTGTGATTGCATTCTTTGTTTTGAAATGGGGTCACGAACCCAAGACCTTCACCTTTCCAACACCGCTCTTTCTCCATTCCATAGACTAAATTGTTTTTGTTTTTTAAAAATAAAATTAATTTTACAAGATCAAGCCTCCCAGATTCCAATGGTTCAGTGCTTAACTCGCAACTTATTGTACAAAATAATTTGGGCCGAGTTAATAGCAAATGAGATTTATTGAGATCTAACAAACATATGAATAGATGAGGTGGACAACTTATTGTACAAAATAATTTGAGCCGAGTTAATAGCAAATGAGATTTATTGAGATCTAACAAACATATGAATAGATCTGGTGGACTGCCTGGGCATTTAATAAACTTTGCACAAAGAGTGATGACAAGAAATGTATTATGTTATAATAATTATGACTATTATACCTTTAGAGCCTCGCTACTCGAGTGCATACACAGTGACGTAACGTGGGCAAATTTATATCTCTCCAGTTTCTGTTGTTCCAAGAGGGCAACACAGGATACAAGAATGATGTCGTCGGCTTCTTAAACCAGTTTCTTCCCGGTGGAAATGTGAAACAACTACCGTGCGGTTTAGCTTGCAGAGATGACTGGGGCTCCAACAGATACGCAGGTATTGACAGTAGTAGGCTACACGGTCGAAACAGGCGCTCATCATGATGTACTTTTGGGGTTTTTTGCTTGTGGAGTTATCGGTGTAACCTAGGAACTCTTGATGCAAACATACACATCTATCTATCTCTGTCTATTCTGAATAAAATTTGAGACATTGCAATTAATGAAGATGGGAATCGCCTGTTGTCACGAGTAACCAAAGAGATAAAATGGCCGACAAAGTTTGGTAAAATCCAAAGTTTAAAGATTGCAAATTTTGTTTTATTGGGGATTTTTGTTTGTTTGTTTGTTTGTTTGCTTTTGGTTTCTTTAATAAAATTGATTTTTTTAAAATATCCACACAGGAGTGTTTTATTTGGTCATAAAAGCTGCTGAGCTAGCCCTCACCTAAGAAACAGCTAACTAACAGGCAAACAAATAAGCAAACAAAAATAAAAAAATAACGACAAATAAAATTGTATAAGAATTTCCAATGGGTGGAAATATGGTTTATTCGATTTCATAATTTTGACAAGCTCCTGGTTTCACCATAATAACAACTTGAAGCAGACGTGTTTCAATTTCTTTAAATTGAAGCATTAAATAAATTTCTAACGGATGACGTGTGCTTAACGTTAGGCGACTAGGTGAAACCGCACCATCTTCATTTTCAAAGAAAGACTGAGCGATCAAACAAGAAATTAGAGCATTTCAAGCAAGTGCTTAGTGTGTTAAAATATTGCTCTTTAAAAATGTAAGTGTTTGTTACGCTCCCTTCCCAGCGTGCCTGTTAGAGCCAAACCGAACTGAGGAGGAGACGTCATGTAAGAAACAAAGGCCAAGATACTCTATAAAAAAAGTCCCAGCTCAGGAATCGAACTTGAGTCTCCTGCATGCGGCATCGAAACGCTTAACCGCTACACCAGTCACCAGCGTACCGCTGTGACATCAGAAAAAAGTGCTCTATCCATCTATCTATCTCTCTATCTATTTATAGTTCTTTTACAATTAATGTTATCATAATGTCTACATTCCCCACCCCCCACCCACCGAAAAAGTCGCTTCTTTTCCCTGACTATCTTTGATTCTGTTGTCTGTTAGCTGATACAATAAAACGTATGCTAAAAATTAGAACAGACAGCACGGGGTAAACTAATTCTCTTCTGTTTTTGTCTGTGTCTCCATCCGTCCAAATGTCTGTGTTAATGTTTCCAACAGGCAATGCTGCATTCCTGGCTTTGCTGGCTGCTAAGGAAAACATCAACCCAACCCCTTTCAGGAAGTTTGCTGTGGAGCAGATCAACTACATTCTCGGTGACAACCATATCAATGGTGGATGCTTCAGCTTCGAGATCGGATACGGTTCCAAATTTCCACGTAAACCTCACCACAGGGGAGCGTAAGTAGACTCTCAACTTTCCTGAAATCTTTATTAAAATGTATTAATTAATTAATTAATTAATATATTTATTTATTCATTCATTTATTTATTTATTTATTTATTTATTCATGTATCTATTTATTTATTTATATCCACATGTAATACACAGCTTTCCAGGACTGGACCTCGCTGGTAACGCTCATCACAGCCCTCCCGAGGGAATTTGGCTTTCGTCGTCATCAATAGCGCTCCTCGGTTATGTAATACTCGTTTCTTCGCTATTTGTCTTTACAACAGGCATCGACCCGGCAGGGGGGCCCGACTTGTCTGTAAGATAGTTTCTTTTAACATGCTCGGTGATAACATTTCATTTGGTAAAACATGGTAAGTTCCCTACCTCTTCCACGGTGGCCGGCCACAATCGTCTCTTGGGTCTTGACGTGCCCTAGTGAACCACAAACGAGACCATTCAAATATATTGTGATACCTATCTCTGCTCTCTACACCACTCTAGACTCTACTGCTATGATAGACCACCCCCATCAACCGCAGCTGGTGTATACATTTTCTCAAGTCGTTCCTCCGGCGACTTGGTCAGCTGGGTAGAACCTGACAGGAACCAGCCCCCGGTGAAAATGGCATAAACAAAGAAATGCTGAAGTAATTAGATCTGTTTGGCATTGGCACTATGACAGAACTTTTCAACGATACAATGACTCTGTACATATACCAGAGGAGCTACTCCAATCAATTTATATTATCATCCCAAAAAAACAAAAACATCAAATGCATTGACCTCAGGACCATCAGTCTAATGCCACATTTCATGAAAATGTTGTTGAAAGTCATTTTGAGGAGAATCAAGCAAGGGCAAAATTAACAAAGAAGTTGGAAAAGGAAAGTTCGGCTTCAGATCTGAAAGTGGCACCAGAGCATTGAATCTTCTGTAAGAACAAAACAGCACAGAAACATATTCAAATCCAAAAAGACCTCTTTTTCCTGCTTTAATGACTACCCAAAAGCTTTTGACAGAATCCATCATATCAGACTGATTGAGTTGAGTGTTTGGGGAAGATAGGTATTGATGGCAAAGATATAAGAATTATAGGAAATCTTTACGGGCAGCAGAAGGCAGCAATACAAGTGTGTGCTGAAGTATCAGAATATATTAAAATCCATAGAGGAGTGAGACAAGGTTATGTCCTCTCTCCTTAACTTTTAACATCTATACTGAGTTATTTTTAGAGAACCTCAAAACATGCAGGGAGTCATTTTTGGGGGCCGCAACATCAATAAACCGAGGTAAGCAGATGATACAGTTCTGCTTGCAAACACAAACGAATATCTTTCTAAAATTGTGAATGTAGTGAAAGTGAACAGCAGCAAGGCAGGTCTCGACATGAACGCCAAGAAAACAAAAACAACGATCTTATCAAGACCTTTTGGAAAAAAACCCAGACATAATCATAGATGGGGAGAGAATAAACCAAGGGCACCAATTAAAGTATCTAGGGGCAAAAATCACAGATGATGGAAGAAATGAAAAAAAAAATAGACACAAAAAAGCAGTTTTCAAATTGAAGATTCTGCCAAGTGAGCAAACTATCTGTCACTTTATGAAAGAAAATGTTGTAATGTAATTAATCCTATATGGCGCAGAGACCTGGACTTTGACAAGTAAAGAAGAAAAATAAAGTAAATGCGTTTGAGATGTGGTGCAAACAAAAAGGACAAACAAAAAGGTGTGTCAGAATCTACACACAAGACAGACCCTGCTAGGCAAAATAAAATGTAGAAAAATACAATACTATTTCCATTTAAAAAGACACTAATAGACCATTGTGAAAAGGTGCTTGAAGGAAAAATGTGTGACTGGAGAGCCAGGGAAAGGCAAAGAATAACATGGATGGACGACATAAGAACATGGAATGGACTGGATATGGTAGAATGTGCAACAGCAGCTCGCAATCATGAAAGATAGATGGTCATTGCACGTCAACCTCTGAGTCAGAGATCACACCTCCAGGTATCCGGGAATCAAAGTATCTCATCACAATTAATATTTCACAACCTAGCTCTAACTTTAATCACTCTTCTCATCTAAGTCTCATTCTGATCGTTCAAAAATAAATCAATTTATACGAGTATAATCAATTTTCATCTCACCTCATCTCTCTCTAGATCCTGCCCCACTCACGGACCGTGCAATAACTCGAACAAGGACAGCCCTGTCAACAGTCCACAAATTCTCCAAGGGGCTGTCGTCGGCGGCCCTGACCGTGAAAACTTTTACGCAGACTCAAGGACGGACTACAAGCACAACGAGGTAGCCACAGACTACAACTCCGGATTCCAGGGAGCTATGGCTGGTCAGTACATTGTTTAATTAAAACGATGTTGTTGTTGCTGTTGTTGTTTTAGATGTTGCTGTTGTTGGCGGCG